TGCATCTGCAAGGCCATTAGGGCCCACTAGGGTCTGCTTTCGTAATCAGCATTCACATGCGTGGCTGTTTTGTTTGTGACCTAAATGGGAATTTACATAACAATGGCCAATAAGACTTTGCATTGCATTACATTACAATTGTAATTTAAATTCTAAAGTCACAAAAAATGTATGTGGAGCTCCCAAGAGCTCATCGTCTGATGACAAAAGTCACTCGAACCCTAGAGGGCTTGGGGACATTGAAAGCTTTCAATGAAATCCTGAGGAAATACACTTGAGTCAGATTGCTTAATAATCCAGCAGTAATTGTTTTTATCATTTAAACTGATATTTCACATCTCTGAAAAGACACATGCTGCTGTCAGAAGAGGCCTGTGAGGAGATTTGGGGTCGAAACTCATTGCTATGAAAGAGCTATGATCCTCCAAGTGAGGTTAGATACTTTGCTACAAAGAAATTATCAGCCCATATCGCATCACTTCTAGTTAGGATCTTGCACTAAAACGCCCACATGATGATTCCATAAAAGTGGCAGCAGCGGGAGCGTGGGCAGCTCTACGTTGGACATAAATTTGGCGGCTAGCCTGTTGTCACTCGTCTCATCAGCTCTCCACAGGGAGCCTCAAATACAGAATTGGTCAACCTATGTAATGGAAGTCCAATTATGTGCTTTATTTGTTTTGTTTTGTCATCACAACCCACACATACATCTTTTAACAACAGTAGACGAGTGTGAACAGAGTTGTCAAAGCTTTTGCCGGGTAACTTTTTTTGGACTCGTGTTTTTTTTAATCTCTCAAAAATCCCCTTACATAACCCTAACCTTCACATTAAGATTATAGGCTATTACGCTGCTGCTACTAACTCACAATATTACATCATCTGGAATCAATATGGCTGCATGGCAAAAAAAAGCTGTAGTAACAATGAATCACAGGAGGCTAATATTTTTAGGTCTTTTTTTGACGTGGAAACCGATACTTTAAAGATCGTTTCTCTGAGGTGTAAACTGGCCAAAGTTCCAACCTAGTGCAGGAATTATTCAATGCTTGTGGTGAGCTCACAGTGCTCTGCATCATGTGTAGCCCTCCTCATCTGTGCTTGGAGAACGCAGGCTGGAGCACTTACATAACCTAGTTAAAATATACCCCAGTCACATGTAACATTCAGCCCTGCAGATAGATATCCCACTGTCGCTTGAGCTGCTCTGGCAGCCGTTCAGACACTAGAGAGAGTATAAACATGCACGCACGCACACACACATACACAGAGCCATAAAATATTTGTCAGTGGTTTGCTGCCAGACATTCTCAACTGCCTGCATGTGAACTGTCTGTGTGGAAAATGGTCAGGGAGCTTTTTCTCTGGATGAAGCACATGTGACTGAAGTTGGAAGAGGGAGAAGGTGCAAAAGGAAGAGGGAGGGTGTATGACGGGGCGCCGGAAGTCCAACCCTTTAAAGCAACAAAAATGCAATGAGTATCACTCTGACTGCATAACCTCTAATATCAAATCTAAATGCGATTGGCTGCGCATACAACTGACACCCCACCCCGCTGCAGCGTGCCCACAGTACATGCAGTTACTCTTCTAGTGTGTGGGTGGGGTTTATTTGTAGAAGTAGCATTTACTGTAACAGGATGACATATCTGGAGGAGTAATATGCTACACTAGGGAGAAGTGGAAGACATATTTTCTAACCAAGATTAAAGCTAAACAGGGTCCAGACATGGTGAAGGATTGCCCAGATTCAGATTAAAGTCTAAAGCAATTTCAGGCATTCTGTTATTGTCACGTGGAACATCTGTGAAGATCACTGTAAAAAACATAAGCAGAGAACGGGATCCAAGTCACAAAGTTCATCTTCAGCTAGATTGATGGGAAAATTAGGTTTTATTCCTCAAAGCTGACATGCTCAATTGGTGGCTGAGACTTGAGGGAGGTAGTCCAAGGCTTTGCAAACATTACAGGAAAAAAAGTTATGTAATCCTGTTATTACAAGTCTATGAATCACTGCAAGGACCCAATATTTTGTACCGATGTCAATTATGTGCAGCCAGAGGACGTTTTTAATGTCTGGTGCACCTTTGTGTTTACATTTGTGTTCCCTGCAGCAGCTTTAGTTGTCGTTAACACAGTTATGGACATTCCTGTCGGTTTTCTCCTCCATCTGAGCTCCAAACCAAAACCTGTCCCTAAGTCGCACTCCTGCTATTAGTGGTGAGCAGGCATAACGTGAACAATGGTGTGGGAAGTCTGTTGTTTGCCGTCCCAATTTAAAGAAACCATGCATGTGTGTGTCACCATAGGTCAGGTTTTGAGTTTGGGAAAGCATATGGAGCAAAGCCAGGGTACACCCAGCTGAGTCATATACACAGTTCACGCGACAGATGTTGATATAACAGACACAAACGCAAATACGCTCCCGTGCAAATGGCACCCAAACACTCTCACATGTATGCCTGCGTCCCCTTGCAGCATATTTACCGGTAAGGCCACAGTCTCTCTCATTCCCTCACTTTATGCAAGTGTAACACGGGTCAGTTTAGGTTATTGGCTAGTGCTTTTGATGGCAAGTCATTCCATTAGACATGTGACGCTGCCTGAAAATGAGAAACAGATTTTACAATACCGTAAATCGTGCACACATGTACTTGAGTTCAGAGCTGCCTTTAGTCCATAGGGTGAGGTGCGGTTGATGCTCCCCACGCACACGTGCTGCGTCTTTATTTTTTATTTTTTCGAGAAGACAGGGTTAGACAGGGACAGATGTTCAGCGTATGCCCTATAATAAAGTGGGTGTGAGTCTCTGATTGGTCTTTTATTTTTTATGAATGAGAGCGGGAGAAATCCAGTCTCTGTGGGATATGTTTTCAGCCTGCCTCTCTGACAAATTGAAAATCGCAGTGCCAGTTTGTGTCATGTGACTCATCTTGGATCCTGACAGGAAAACGCACAGATAAAAAGAGTTCCCTTTTGTGAACAGACTGCAAATTGCTGCTGTTGTTCTTTATGCGAATGACAGATTGTGAAAATTGGAGAACGGCTCCGTAGAATTGGATTCGTGTTAAACACTTAAGCATTCCTGGCGAGTACACAAAATACTGAAACATTCACGACAATCTGTGGCTAAGGTTTCTATATGTATGATGCCATGCGTGCGTGGTTCAGAATGCTGAATGTATGAGCCCAATAAAAGCTCTTTGAACATCAAATGCATGCAGATATGTCTGTTTCCTGTGCTTTGAGGTGAATGGGATATATATTTCACAGTGACAGCCTCTAAGACAAATAAGGGAAATGAGAGTTTGCTGGAAAGCTGTAGGAAGCTCTCTGTCGTCACAAAGTCTGGGGTCACCAGGGGATCAGAGCCTGGGGAGCAGAACAACAACAAGCTGTTTGTGGGATGTGTGAGAGACCGCTGTGACTTAGAGGACAATTAAAATTCAAAATGAATCTCTAACCATGCCAGTAGGTGTGTCACCTTGACTGGTTTTAGAATGCATTCTTCACAGCAGGATGTGATTACAGGCTCATCCGTAGAGAGCAAAGCTAGTGTTTGCTGGTGCCCTCATCCTGCCTGATCTTCATTGTGACGGCAGCACATAAAGCAAAAGTAGCCACATATGCTACTCTATGATCACTTGACCACAAATTGCCTTTTCAATCTAATTACAATGGTACAAGCTCATTATAGAAGGCAAAGATGACAGTCCAAGAAGTCCTTCTGCATTATATCTCAGACAGATTTGCACCCGGTTGTTAAAACTGTCTGGGCAGCGTCCTCGGCTCTGTAAACATCTCGCGGAGCCTTTTCGCATGTGACCTGTTTACTCTGGAGAGAGAAGGGGGGGAAATGTTTTGTTTCAAATCCTGTCTATCCGCATTGTCAACTGAGGGAGATGAGGAGACCAGGCCGTTTGTGCTTTTTGGGTGGGCGTCTCCCGGGCGCACGTGATCTCTCTCCCCGCCCCCCACCACTGTTTGCTGTGAAAGGGTTCGTGACTCACTGGCTCCAAGCTCAGGATTCTTGTCTGGCCTCTGACAGAGGGCACTTAATCCTACTCTCTCATGCAGTCAAACAGAGGTCCTATGAGTCATCAGTTTTACCATCATTGTGCCTAGAAAAAAATAAATTATAAATTTAAAAAAAATACAGAGCTATGGTCAAGAAGAAGCAGCTTTGCGTGTGGAAAGGTGGTTCTGGTTTCGTGTATTTACCTTCTCAAGAAAAGCAAAATGAAACAATTAATGACTAATTCCACTAATGATTCATCTTAATGCATTATTTACTTAGTCACTCACAACTTGGAGACATCTTATGTAATGTCTTGTGGTATGCAGAAAGCATTCATGTACTTACACAAGTACTGTATAGTTTCGCAGCAGGTACTTTCTCTCGTCTATTTCTCCTCTATTTTCTAAAAGCTAGTTACTTTGCAGGTCATTCAAATTAAGCGTGTTATCATTTTATAACGTTAAACGATAACAAAGTAGCCTTATATTACAGATTTAAATGTCAGAAATGACCTAATAATATATATTACATGGACAGAATCTTTCTTATAATAAATACATGTGAATCGATCTTACCAGTTGCCCTTTACTTTCTCCTCCCCCACTCACCACACCACCACCATTAGCAAACATATTTTAAATGTGCAAAAATAAGTGCCTGCTACACTCTACCGAAGTGTCCTTGGGCAAACTCATTAACTCTCACACTTGTTCCTGAAATTGCTGACTGCGCCTTTAGCAGTGCCGCTCAGCTTACTGACATGCCTCAAGTCAAGCATCATCATCCAGATGATATAATGCCCAAGAATGCCTGTAGAATGACCACAGCCAGCCCTGGCTTGACTTTTTACCCAGCTGCTGAAATGAAACCGATCCGCGTGTCCACGTGTTTGTGTCATTTCCATGTCATTTGCATATGTAAACCGGCCTCGCCTATTGCTCCGCGACTGCACTGAACGGAGGAGCCGATTGGACAGTCGGAGCCGCTCGAGGAGCAAATGGGAGCGCATGCTCCTGCTAGTCCCGCCCTCCCAGACACGTTGCCTTGGGAGAAGCAACACGGGCCGATCACTGGATGTTCTGCCTCCTCTCTCTCACGCCGCACGTCCAGCACATCAGCTGCTCTCTGCCTACAGTCCTACTGGATTTACCGCTAAACAAAGGAAGAACGACCAGCCGCTCCATCCTGAGAAGGTAGGCACCCATGCTCATCTCCTTTTAATGCCCAGAGCCTCCCGATAAATATCACTTACTTTGTGTTTCTGAGGGGACTAAGCGATATCCTAGTAATATTATTATTTTAAATCATCCAGAGGCATTTCACACAGACAACCTGGTCAGAAAAACAAAGAGTTTGCGGTTGTGTTTAGTGCTGCGATATGGTAGCCTTCCCGTGACAGGGACTGGTATTCCTGTTTCATTTCTTTCTTTATTGTTTAAATATATATATTTATATTTTACAAATTCAGCATGCTGCCAAATTTACTGAGACTGATGAGGAAGTATATTGTGTCTGTTACCCAACTGATGTGAAACCCGCATTTAGGCGGACAGATCAGACCTGCCACCTTATCTTCCTATGCGCGTTTTCTCTGGCGAGAGATAACGACGTGTGAATATCGGAAATATTCTCGTATATTTCAAGCATATCGGCGTACGTGTTAAGCGCTGGGCATCTCTATTCAGGTGCCCCACCTACACAGGTAGATGTAGACGTCGAGGTCGCGGAAGCTAACTGGTATATATATATTTTTAAATTGCTTTATGGGACCACCTTTCCTTTGATTCAGAAATCCACGGTGTTAGCTGTTATCAGTACCTCCTACTGCTATTTAAAGTGTTATTAGAATATAACTGTAGGCCTATATGAGCATGCAAAGGCCCAGGGCAAGTGAATATTTAGTAAGCTCGCCATGTGTATGCTGTTTTTATCACAGAAAGAAATTAGTAGTAGCGTGGAGCTAGTCATGGCACATATATGTTGATATATTTTCTCAGTGCTATTGGATTCATTTAGAGTTAGTATATTAATAAGAAGGGCGACTTTTATACAATTATAGAGAGAAATTAGATTTTCTTTTTGCTACTGCAGTGTCTGTGCATGTTTTGTGTTGTGTAATACAGTATTACACAACACAAAACAGACTGACATTGCAGTAGCTTGGAATTAGATTCAAGATTCTTTGGGACTTTGCTGAATCTCTTCTATGGCGCTCAATACTCACGTGCTCCTGTAAATCATTGCTTTGATTTAGAGCAATGATGATGTATATGTTTTGCGTTTTATTCAGTATATCAGTAAATGTCCGCTCCACCCCTCCTCTGTAACAATAAGATCAGAAGGCGACAAAGAATCAGGGAGCAATCAAATTTTACAGGAAGCAAGAGACATGGCAGTCCTTAACTCTGGAAATCCTAAAATGATCTCTGTGCTGAAAATGCTGTTCTCACTTCCCCTCTTGTAATAAACACAGAGGGAATATACTGCAATTAAGCCTCCGTGAAGAGCCTTTAGTTGGATTTTCTTTTTTATTCAGAAGGCGTTCATTGCTGAAGAACGCTTCCCATTTTCTTAAATCTCTTTTTTCACCCCACAAGTGTCACTTGTGTTGATGGGAGGTCTGCGGTTCGTCGAACTACTAGTCGTCATGGTGGCAGACCTCTGCCCCTTTGAATAAGCAAGCGAACGAAGTGTATGAATGAATGTGGTGGTAGCAGCTGGCAGGCCAGCTGACAGAAGCGGACTGAGGGTGGTGGGGGGGATAGTCAGGGTAGCAATTGTGAAATTTAGAAATGTGTTTGTTTGTGATGTGAAGACGCTTGAGGGTTGCAGTGAAAAAAATTTGGAGGGACAAATGACGTGAGCCTCCCACCCACCACCCTCCGAGTATTGGATGGGGCACGGGACCGTTTGCTGTTTGCTTTTGATGGTGGCTGGCCTGTGTTTACTGGCTCAGGTGTTGCATCTGCAAAACAAACAGGTCATTGTGGTCCCAACAACTGTTATCTCACTGCCACCATCTGCTCCGAGTACACTGCTGTCCCTCCTCTGTCTTTATTGTTATTTCTGCTTGGCTGGAGTTTTTTTGTTCTTTCTTGACTTTTTGCTCGAGAACACTACATTTGATTATTTTGGCTAAAGGCCTTGATGTAGTTAATTTTTAATTTACTGTTTCTCGTCTCCGCATCTGTTATCGCTGCTCCCTTTAATATGTTTCGTGTTGTTGCAATGTAATAACGGTGAGTTTCTCTTTGTCAGGTCGGTGATGGTCAGTGCTATTTAGACCCTGCAGCTGAGGATGTCTGCTACAGATTCGGACAACTCCATTGACTGGCTGGCTAGCGACAATGAGGATAATGAGAACGAGCAGGAGCCTGACTGTACCAGAAAGCACAGCCAGACAGAAGCTCCTTTATCCCCCTGTGCCTCTTCGCACCTGGGCCCGACTGACAGCAGCTGCCGCTGGAGCAGCGACTTGAAGGAGGGCGACGGTAACTGGAGCGGGGTCAGGGAGGTCTCCAGCCGGGGATCTCCCGGCTGCATGGAAAAATGGGACAGAGACACCGCCACTGGACTGTGTAAAACACAGCAAGGAGAAAGAATGAATGGCAACAACACTCAGCAGGCACTGAAGAGACCCCGCGGCTCTACAGAGGACGAATGCAAAGAACGGCAGCTCATTGCCAACATGTCAGAGAAAGAGAGAATTTTTAGCAGCAAGGTGAGCGCCTCTGTGGTTCATGTGTGCTTTCCACAGACAGTGGTTGACAGTGTCAGCAAAACTAGCGCGTACCCTGTCACCCAGACTGATTCCCGTAGTGGTTTTACAGAGTGCTTCCTGCATGACATTTCCAGTAAAAATGACCTTCCCCTATTTGCTATCCGTTTCTAAAGAACTAGACTTTTTCTGTCTTAAGTCAAACAAAGCTAGTTAGTCATGGAAAGTTGTTGTCAATTAATATAACAAAATGAACTGGGGGGAGGCTGATTTATTATGAGCTTATCAGAAAAGGTTTTTAAGTTGTTTTATTACCCACTAACACTAATAAATCTGTTATTATTTTCAGTGCATGGAGTTACAATGCTACATTCATCCATTGTCATCAATCTTGAATGGCCTTCGTTCAGGGAGATACAAAGAAAGTAAGTCAGCATTTAATATGTCTTCTGCTTCACACACAAGATATTAACCTGATTGAACACAAAATGTCTTAGTTGAGTCTGTTTTTCACGGTCTCTTTTGTCTCAGAAAGAAAAAAACAATAGAGCGCATAGACTACGCAAGTCTTTGTGGAATAGGTGTCCTTGAGATATGAGCGCGAGACGTCTGAAACATGCATTGTCGTAGGACTGTCATCTAACCACAAGCATTCCTTGTATATGTGCGCATGTGTGTGTAAAGTGATGCAGTTCTTGAGTCAGATAGGCATTATGAGGATCTCTGAAAGAGAGCACCGTGTTCACGCGGGCGCAAAAACTGCTTAGTTTGGGATCTTAGTCAAACCCGAACCTTGTGTGACCCAGCACTTCCTGGCCACAGAAGCAGGGAGTCTGTTCCTTCACACACACATTTCACACTACCCATCTGCTGAGCAGACTCAGCCCTGCTGTCAACACAGTTCATGTGGCTCATGCTACAACTTTCTTCTTGCCAGGACTCAGCAGTTTCCAGGAGAGTGTCGCCATGGACCGGATTCAGAGGATCATGGGTGTTCTGCAGAACCCCTACATGGGGTAGGTGACCCACATTCTGCCCTACATGAAACAATGATAATCGGTACTTTGACATAAATGTGTCAGCGTAGAAAATCTGTGTGCTCTTTTCACTTGTGGCTTCAAACCCGTGTGAGAACCACAGTGCATCCCCCAGCATACATATACAAGGGCTACCCAATACTGCTTGCTATCTGTGGGTCGAAGTGGTCTCCGTTATGTTTCTGACACATGGCTCACAGCAGGTTGCTGCTACGCCCGCACATTCAGGATAAATTTACTGCAGAGATGGCTGCCTCTCACTAAAGCTGGGCATCTTGTTAAAAATGTATCAGGCTTCACTGTGAGAGCGGCCCACTTGTGTCTGTGTGATTAGCTCTCCACCGGCCAGACAGCATAATGGAATATGCTATCACCCCTTTCAAGGAGAAACTCTTATAGTCCCTGTTTCCCAGTCAAATTTAAAATGTTTTGATATTTCACATTGTTAAATGGAAAAAAACTACCAATTCTCAAGTCCTTATGATCTGATTTTTAGTGCAGTTTTTTCCCCACACATATAAAAAAGAATATCTGTCCATTCATTTGCGCATTTTCTTAACTGCTGAATAGAAAACTTCCATATCTGATGAACGTTGCTATCAAAAAATTCCAGAAACTCATGTAATATATGTTTCAATTATCTGGAAACAGGAAACTGTCACATTTGAGAAGCTGGAAAGTTTTGAGTTTTTGATTTGAGTAATCACTTTAGAGCATAATTTCACAGAGCGATTGCACTCAGCGATCGTATCAATACTATTTGATTACACTGAAACGAAATCCCGGCATCGTGTACAGTTTAGCTGTGAAACTGAATAGGAAGCTTTGGGGTGTAGTTAGCACAAGGCTTTGCATCAAGGTATATTAGACAAAGTGCTCCTGAGCGTAGCGCAGACTAATTGGAGCCCTCACCCACCAGCTGCTGCCTCCATAAGGGAAACAAAGAGTGGGTGTGGCAGCCTCCCTGCAGACAGCCAGGGCAGAGGCTGGAAGGTGGACTAAACCCCTCCCTCGTGTCTCTCCTGGTGTCTGCTCTGTGTTGCCAGCTGGCAGCCCCTGGAGCAACACAATGGTAGATAGGATCAAAGTGACTTTTTTTTAGCAGCCACTGTGGCGGATAATCTTTCACATGAATTTAACATGGGTTGGACTGAATATAGCAGGAAGGTCCCGATCGTACGGCCCAGGCTAATCCCCGCTCGCCATCTGGTTCTGACGGGCAGCAGTTAAGGGGGATTCTGACTGCGCCCACCTCCGACGTGAACTGCGTCAACTGTTTTATTTTTACACTGACGCTGTGGGAGAACGTTGTGGCTTTGGCGTTTATATTTAGAGGCGAGCGGGAGTATTATACGCCAGTCCACGTGTGAGCTCAAAGCATGTGAGAAATGTACTTAAGACAATGTTCCCCTCCCCACACACGGAGAGCAGGCTTTGTTGAGCGAGCGAATGTGTTCGCTTGCTTTTCAAGAGCGCATATTTCCTGTGCGAGCTTGATGGGGAGGTAGATTTCAGAGAAGAGGTTACCAAGATTTTTGCTCGATTACTCAGATTCGCGCGCGATAGCTTGAGTAAATAGCTCTCTCTCACTCTCTGTTTCTTTTCTTTTTTTCACCTCTGCTTCCAGGGAGAAGTACATTAATATCATTCTTAAAATGGAAGAAATGCTGAAGAGCTGGTTCCCTAATGTAAAGCTTCAAGAACACCCACTCACTGTCACCCAAACAGAGGAAGCTGCTCCCACCAAGAAACTGAAGGTAAAGTTAAAAAAAAGAAGCTGTTGTGTAAGAGCTCTTCGCCTAGATAAATCCCGCTGCCAAGAACATATGGTGACGACGCAGTGAAAGAGCGACTAAAATATCTATTATTATTTAATCACAGGTCTGGAACAGGGACAGGAGGATTAAAAGCTATTTTTACTGAGGTATTACTGCAGTCTCAGGTTCACTAAGAACAATGACAGAGGAGAAAAGGTAATTTTGGAGGAGTGTCCCTAAGGGGATAAGAAAGGTCAGGATACTTTAGAACATTCCTTTGCATTTAATTGGTGAGGAATTAGTCCCGACACACCCTGTCATGAACAGGATTTTATGATCTACATTAGGTTTTTTTTATTCTTTATAACTGACTACACCCACTATGATCGATACTGCTCATACCAGATCCCTACTACCAAGTCTGATTGCTACAGTGTGTAAATTATGCAGGTGGTGCAGCTCAATCGGAGGAGGTTCCCAATTCAAGTATTTCTAGTAGCGCGAGCGTGGCTGAACGCAGACTATGTCTTGCTCTGTGCTACGTGTGAGAAAAGAAAACTGGGGGAATTCTCACGGATTATCTAAAGATGGTGTGTTTAAACAAATACACAGAGAATTATCGCCCTCAGAACCGTGCTCATAATTTTGGTCTTATTCCTGCCACGCTCTTCAGCGTGTTATTTACTTTCTGGATTAAAAACATCTCATTGGACACTTAGTGTCCGGCACCAGATGGCAGACAAAATAAGTAGCTTTTCAACAAGCTGGGGCTTCTAGTAACTAAACAACAAGATCCTCAAGAATTAGTGGAGGCCAAATTACGGTTCAGAGAGAATATTTTAGAAACAAAACTCAAAATTAATGCCAGTGTTTACCCCTAATGTTAGATATTAAACAGAGGAAATTAAATCATTTTGAGGCGCTAATACACTGTGTACATGTGTGTTCGGGTTGTTGCAGCGCCCCACCCAGATTTTGGGGCTTATTTGCTCTCGGGCCATTTTTATGGCTCCTGCAGTGTGTTTAGGGGTGGCTGTAGCTCAGGAGGTAAACCAGGTCATCTGCTAATCGGAAGGTTGGTGGCTTGATCAGAGTGTGAACGTTCGATGGAAAGCACTTAGAGGAGAAAAGTGCTTGTGGTATAAAGTGCTTTGAGTGCTTGAGTAGGAAAGCGCTATAAAAGATCAAACCATTTACCGTTTTAGTGTTGCTTTCAGCCCTTCCATTATCTGGGCCTCACTCAGATTTCTGCACGATGAATATATTATTTATATTTCAGGGTCCTTATAATAACTAGATGGACAGCAAATGAAAATTAGGTCTTGGTAATCAATTAGAATCATCGCTGAATAATAAAACTTTTTTGTCATACTCAACAGCTGTCTCCAGTTACCACATCTGCAGCAGCGAGCGCCATCACTACTAGCGATCCTCCAGCCACCGCCAAAGCCCTGAGAGTCACAGATCTCACTCCTCCTGGAGCTTACTCTGCCAATAATCTGAAGTGGCTCCACACGTCACCCATTTGCTCTCCCACAGCAGAGCAGGCCCAGGCTGGTCCCAGGCCCCTGCTGACCCCCAGTGACAGAGACCTAACGCAGGACAGCGCCGTGTCCTCCAGCACAGACAGCCAAACTAAAACAAACTTGGTGCCCAGAGGCCCGCCGCCGGGCAAAATCAACGCGCCCTGTCTAGAGAGGCTTCTAAAATCGACGGACAGCATCATCACACGTAAGGGAACAGGGCGTTTGACGGACAGCAGCTGGTCCTAGTCCACACAGAGGGCTCGGTGTAAGCAGCGCGCAGAGGAGCCCCGCCTTACCCACCCTGCAGGGAGCCAATCAGCTCACTTAGCTCATTCCAGCCTTCAGGAGAGATGAGAGCCTTCAAAAGGGATCTTTTAATATGGAAGCGGTGTCGATGAACAATGTGACTTTTCTGTACGGCGGTGTACCCTCTCTAACACGACAACTATCTGCTTTATTTCCCTTTTTGTTGACTTATCTCTTCTTTTTTCCCCCCTCTTCTCTCTTTTTATTTTTGCACTCTTCAACAGCGTGTGTGAGAGTTGGAAGGATAAATTTCACATGCCGTGATACCGGAGAAAGTATTTTCATAACTGAATTTGTTCGCACTGGCTTGTAGATGTAAAAAAGAAAAAAAAATACAGTCTGAGTATCTGTGAAGCTGCCATTACGAGTGAAAGAGAAAGAACTGAAGGAAAGGTTTGTGCTGAAAGGAAGGAAGATATGTCAGTGATCTACATATTGTTGTGCTGAAAATGTGGGTGAAATGTGATGTTGTTCCCCTCCCCTCCCATGACTCCACTCTTAAGTTTATTGATGTGACTGTTACTCATTTGTATTCTTTATAAATAACTCTTTTGGTACAACTGTTCTACCTCAGCGAGCACCACGTCACGGTTAGTGAGTAAGAATGTGAACACTATGCTCAAAGTAAGGACACCTCGACAGAGCTACGGTGAGCCACCAAATGGCCTCTGACGACAAGGTCTGCAGCGCAAAGTCTCCCCTCTTCTACAAACGGAGGATGCTGTCTCAGTGGGGATGCTCTCGTGGCCTGACTGGTGCCAGTGTAAAGAATGTCAACTGCAGATTTCTTTTTCGAGTCTCCCAGTAGAAGGCAAACAGTGCCTGTAACGTCAAGCTGTGCCTGTAAGCTGGTTTAATAAAGAGAAAGAGAGAGAACCGTTTGGAAACCTTGCTCCTCTGTCCTCTGTGGGATGTACAAATCAGGAATTCTCACTCTCCTGCCGTTTTCCTGTTTTGAGTAAGTTATTCAGATCTCGCCAACTATTTTCTGTGGTGAAGCAGAACAATAGCTTTTTTTTCCTTTTTTTTTTTGCCACAGAACTGGACAGTATGTTGGACCAGCGGAGAGATGGACAAGCTTTTTTGTCTGTGTAAATCTTACAGGAAGGTTGTCAATTTACCCTGAAAAGTGGCCTTTACAGTGTGAAATTTTATACTTTCAAAATAAATGTGGTTATATTTGTTTGATGCAAAACAAATGGCTACAGATTCTTCTGTTGTGAAATTTCTTAACACTGTAAAGCCTAAACCATGAAACACTAGTGTGTTTATTGAACCTTCTGACAAATCTTTATTAGAAGAATTTAAACATCAAACTATATATGAGTATTAATTTACAGATTTTTGTTGCCTACTACAACTTATTCCAGCTCTTCAGGGAAAAACAATCACACTGATGATGTAGAGGTCTCAAAACCTGATAAAAATCCAGGTATTCAATATGACACACTTGGTTTTCACCAAAGGTCTTTCAAAGGGTGACGTATAAGCAAAAAGAATATACACAATGGCCTGAAAATAATTCTCAACCAAGAGCTAAACCCGCTCAATTATGCATCAAAGACCCCCCAAAGAAAGAAGAAAAGAGTGCTATCTGATTAATGTCGTAGTTGGGCCAATTATAGGGTGAGTCACTCAAAGCGAGCCTACTTCCTGAGGGAATAAAAAGATTTATTGTTTGCAAGGTAGGGTTTCATCTTCTTTGCCTCAGTTGTGCTGTACAGGCAAAGTGAAATTACTGCTTGCAGGGCTCAGTATCACTTCACATTTCTCAGAAAGTGTTGCCACGCTGTGTTTTTACATGCCTGTAGACAAAGAGGAATTCCAAGCGCACAGTTTTTCACAACCTGCAAGAAAGAGGGAGAATGGCTCTGCCTGTGCCAGATTTCACATTTGATTTGCAGATTAGTTCATGAAAAAGGCAAGAAGCAAGTCTTTTATACTCTCGTGTGTGGCCACGATATAAGCATTTAGCTCCACTTCTAAATGTATTTAGAACATATTTGCAATCCAGCAAGCAAATGCCTCATGTTTGACAAAAAGAAGATGCTTTTTTTAATTTTATTTGTTAGGCCCAATTTTTGCTTCTGAACATTTTGTGAAACCACTGATACCTCTGACTGTGGATTCACTTTCACTCAGCTCATGTCGAATTTTGTTTCTGTCAGTAAGAACATGTCATGGCCACGAGGTCTGAAAATAGAAGCATGTGGGAGTTCTACAGCCTCGAAAACAACCGTTCAGGAAGTTAAGGAGAGAAAAAATGGTAGCGATCTACCCCATTTTCATTTGTGCTTCACTAAATTACACATCAGCGAAGCACGTGTCTGTTTTTCCGAGCTGAAAGGCTTGATTTGGTCGATTAGCCGCACTGCTTTGTTTCAGTGTTGCTGCCCCAGATCTCATCTCTCAGGAAAAGGCTAATGGTCTGGACTCACGTGCACAGATGACCTGACAGCGTTCGTGTCCATCGACAGCTGGCACAGATCGCCCAGAAAGTTGTTGTTATGAATGATAGGAAGAGCTGCATCAACAAAAGACAGAACTCTCAATATAAACACCCTGCCAATAATGAACTTGTGATGTGATGTAATGTGCTGGGAAAGTGCATGGAAAGCAAAGTGCTATGAATATAAAAGTAAGTAGGTGCAGGATTCTGCAGACTGAGATGGGTGAGTTTAAAAGTACTACGAGAACATGCTCAAAAAGTAAGACTAGAATTTCTCATTTAAAATCATTTTAATAACTGTGAAAGATCAAGAACTGCCTACTCTACTAGAGAGTTTAAGAAAAGGTAAGTTGTAAGTGCACAAAAAATAACCAAGTACCAGAATACATCAAAGTGATGGTAAATTAGATCCTTAATTTTTCAATTATGTTCAACAAAGCGGTACCAGAGTCACCAGATAACATTATAGACCAATTCTACCATGGACAAGAAATCTCATTGCTTTCCTTTTTAAAGGTCCACAGAGGTTATGCTGCACAAAACTGATTGATGTCTGAGGGTTTTTTTGTATGTATGGGCAGAACTACAAAGACCTAATCATTACTGCAGCAGCAGACATTGGAGCCTTTTATCAGAAGCATTCAAAGGCGAGTGGGAGAGAAGAAAGAGGGTGGACAAGGGGTCTGTGGTTCCAGTCACAAAAAGCCACAAGGAATAATAAATAGGGCTTCATTTTCTCTAGCTGCTCTTTTATTGTAAAAAGGCCCTGATTTGAGCTCCAGCTGGGTTTAAAATGACGAAGGGGGTGAGACTGAATCACAGCTAAGGTGGCAGAGCTTCCCCCAGCAGTAGTTATTTATACACCTACTGTATTTATAATCCTCCCATCCAGAAAGAGCCAGATGTGGTGAGTGTGAAATCACTAACAATCCAGTCAATTCATGATATCAAAAGAAAGGCCAACTGCTGCAGTACAGGCAGTGAATAAAGGGCAGATATTTGCTGATGGTGGCATTCGTTTAAAAAGCTTCATGAAATTGTTAAGCATTCAAACCTTCTGTAATGTAATCATTCCTTTTGTGCTGATGCTCACCGTAGCTCTGCTCTTTTAGACTGTAGTGTTAAAAGACCCAATCACACCATTATCACAGATATTACATAATTACATGTTCTGAACTGCCATCAGCATGTTGTGACCTAGCAGCATGTCAGACCTAAACAGAGAAATACAGCCGTACACGTTTGTCGCTCACGTGATCATATAAGTGCAAAATCTATAAATAAATAAATGACTGATTCTCTAAAAAATTTGCACATTCTTGCGGTGAGCAGCGTGTGACTGCGTGTGACTGTCACAGATTTTGATTTGGGCTGTGCAAAGCAACAAATTGACTCATTATGTTATTATGAATTGCGGCTGATTCATTCACACTCCACAGAAATAATGGTCTCATCTGTCAGAGGGCTGAGCGCTTTTAATTAAGAGACCCGTGAACCCAAAATATCCCCCGTCCAATTATTAGAAGAGCAGGTTATACAAATGGTGAAAGAGCTGCGACAATCCATGGCTGCTCCTCCGCAGTCCTCGGTTTGCTTATCAACCCTCCATGTGCAGTTTAATATGAACTTCTTGTCTCATCTTCCACTACGCAACCTGAAATTGAATTTGGTGTATGGTTTGTTGTTACGTTTGATTTCACAGTTAAGTGATACGGTATAGTATGAAGTCAGATGCTGTTTTTGCTTTTTTTTTTACTGATATTGCACTGGGAACATTCTGGTCTCCAGAGCCAAATGACCACCAAGTACATCGATGCAGACACCAGGGGTCTCTGCAATTCAGTACAGCGCTATTGATTTTCCTGTCTCCAGAAGGTTATCCTTAGCCCTTTCAGAAAAAAAAAAACCAATGTTCGAGCAGCACCACCGCCATTCCGCGTGGGTTTTACCAGCAGCACCTTTTTTTTTTTTAATATTTCAAACATCAGCAGCAAAATGCTGAAATACATCTTCAGAAAACAAAACGTTTAAAAGACTAAACATAATGTGAAAGCTTCATCACAAAAACTGTAGTTATCAAGGACGCTCTTCTATGAACACTTTCAGTGCATGCTGGCAGCAGAAATGATTGGGCTCATAAATGTGATACTTAAACATTTGATGCAGGAATGATAGCTATGGTGACAAGTCTGTTGTTTTTTCAACACAAGGCCTCAGAGACTAATTATGTGAGCAAAACATCATCGCGCCCTGACACCACCACCATCATCCACATATTGCCAGCTAATTGTCTGCACCTAGTCTTGTAGCTGAGGAGAAGAACTGATTCCTGTATAGACTTACTTGAAATATGTGAAGTATAATCTGGGAAGTCCTTTAGTTTCATATTCTGATCTGTTTCCAGACATCTACACGTGACAGGAGGCAAAGTGTTCCTTATAGCAGCGTGCCTTTGGGAATACTTTCATATATAAAGGTTCACAACACTTTCAACAACCACTTCACACAATCAGACGTCTATTTTAACTTCACGGGAGGCTTGAATCGACTTGTTAAAGTGGGTTAGGATAATCATTGTGGATATGTAGAAAGGTGGAACGTGTAATTTGTATTAAGAACATAATAACATGCCTTTGGCAAAAACAAAAAAACCAACATGATGATAGATATTTGTGTGAGCCACAGTTGTTTGTCCAGGTGCAAAGCATACTAACTTTGATGAAAAGGTCAGCCAATCAAATTTCCTTAAAGGGGAAGACTTGTCATTCTCGGTATCGCAATGAGCAACACTTGTCACCTCCCTGTGGTCTAATTGCAAATGTACCTGTGATGCACATCGCTAAAGATGAAGCAGTGAGAGAGATGAGATCACTGATATGCCACCCAGTGACATATCAAGAGCACAACCACCCACACACTCACCCACCCATTAAGTCTCATTTCCAAGAATAGGGGGCAGACTGTGCTCTTGTAGGTATGAATAATGAAAGCAGCCTCCAGGAGCTCATTTCCAGAGAGTGATCATCAGTAAAGTACGGCCTAATGATCACACAGATAAAGTGAGAGGCTGGCATTCATGATTAATGCCCTCAGGTCTGTCTCCACAGCTACACGGCCTCTGCCATCAGATCTTCTGATGCGCACTGACCACAAAGCATCAGGTGCATCAAGGAAAATAAGATAGACCATAATTTACATGAGTCAGCGCAGTGCTTCGTTCCTATAACAAAACTAGCTGTAATATATCATAGAGCAGATATAAAGAATAAGAAAACATGTTAGTTTCAATAAAGCTGTAGTATTTTGTTTTATCTGATATGTAAATGCTTTTTAGGCACCAACCTATCACTTGATATGATTTTTATGTATGTGTGCTTTTTTGATGTCTAATTTACAAAATAAACTCATTTTTAAAAAATTCCTGATGCATGAATATCTTAAGTAGTCTTCAGGAATAGTTTTCCAGGCTTCTTAAAGAGTGTTTCTTTTGATGTTGGCAGCTTTTTGTTCAGTTGTCTGTTGAGATGATCCCACACTGTTTCGATAATGGTGAGTTCCTGGTTCTGGGGAGGCCAATCCACGAATGATAGCATGTGAAAAACCAGGCTGTTGCCAATCAGATGCTTTCCAGGCAGTGTTGTGTGGTGAATAAAAATCTGACAGTACTTTCAACTGAAGGGCCGGATGCTCAGATCCTGTGTCAGATCTTTGCTAAATCATTTCCTATTTCTTAAGGACATAACTTTTAGATACTGTTCATCAGCCGTGGCAGGCCACTTCTTCTTTTGCCTTACACTTGTCCAGTTGTCACATTTTTTTAAGAGCAGACTACACACTATGCCATATGAGCATATGAAATATGCCACATTCTCAGTTAAATTCTCTTTGGGAATCACCTTGCAAAAAATACTGTGTTATCTTTGGCATTTTTTGTAGAATGAGCTCAAGAAATGGGATCAAGCAATGTTTTTGTGACAGGCTGCTTGTAACAAAATGCATAGAGCTACAATTTAAAATACAATTTTACAGTTTTGCTAAGTCCTCTTTTTGTGTAGACATACGGAAAACACAAGTCATCCCTTGAGTTTGGTTGCTTCTTTGCTTAAATGATTAATAGGTCAGTGTTAAGTGGCTTAACAAAGAAACAAATAAATAAAAGGCACAAAGAAGAGAATGAAAAAAATAATTAAAACAAAACCTTTTACTCAATACTGTATATGCATGGTTTTCTTTAGTTTAATTGATTTCTTTTTACTTTTCCCCTAAAATAATTTCTTGTAACTATTTATTTCAGGGTATATGGTTGTAGTTTTTGTTATGCCCACTAGATGGCACCATAGTAAAAGAAAAGCACAGCATATCACTTTTTTGCTGCAGGCAATGGCCTCAACATCGCAGACACAGTTTTTTAATGGTAAATTATTTATCTACAGCTCACCAGCAGCAGCATTCATGTTCCATTAAAAATAATAAGAATACCAATAATGGGCCACAGTAGCACCAGGGGCCTGACCCATTTAAGTGGAACGGGGTCATGATGTAAATAATTACACCTGTGTTTCCATGTCAGAATGGCTGGGTAGCTGAAAAGGGCCTATTATGCTCATCATGTGCTAACACTGACACATCTCTGAGTCAAGCACTGTTCCAAAGACACCCTGAAGGACACACTTTGAGCTGACAGCCCACCTTATTTGTCTGTGTGAATGGATCATCAACCGGATCATACCAACGTGAGTCGGCTGGAATTCCATGATCCCACAGAACTGATCCCACCATACCAGCTGTGGCTCTCTTACATGAGATGCAGACCTCACTGTAACGGCTGACTGGAAAGCATGTCATATCACTGTCTACAAAAGACTCAGCTCTTATTTCAGTGAGACATGGCAGGAATATTTACAGTCACCAGCTTGTGTCATCAGGGCGAATAGAGACGAGTGACCCAAACGTGCACTAAATGTTTTCTCTCGTCTCATCAAAGGCCAGTAACTCACAGGCTGTCATTAAACAATAACAGGAGATGTGCTAACATGGAAACAGACTACAGGAGTTTTGTCTGACATAGCGAATTAAATGTGAATCTAAATATTTTGTGCTGCTATAGAGAAGGACAAGAAGGCACACTGTTTTCAGACTGACCCACTTGTTGATTATGACACCTTTCTCAGTATTTGTGTTGAGCTGGCCCAAATTGTGTAGGTCAGGCCAAATTATCCCTTCAATCTCTTTCAGCTCAGCTGAGTCCAAACAGCGCCACTGTTGTGAGGCTAAATAACCAAGCAGTGGCCAGAAGAAATGGCAGCGGCCAACAAAGTAGGTGGATAACACACTGATATTGAGATTATTATTCCTCGTCAAGAGCTGCTTTGTATTTTTTTTTTTAACTTTAGTGTGTTTGGCATATTTATGGTTGGGATTTCTGGGTCATCTAGACACAATCACACTTTCACTGTGTGGGAAAATCATTTTACACTTTGCTTGGCCTTAAAAGAAAGGAGATGATGAGAGTTTAATATCCAGGACTCAGGGTGTAGTTGTCACTGATGCCTCACAACAAGGAGGATGTGGGTTTGAACTTCATGTTGTCTCTGTGCACACAGTTTCTTCCCACAGTCTAAAGGGATGCATGTTATGTTAATTGGCTGTAGTTATGGATGTGATCATGAAGGCTTGTGTGTCTCTCTGTGTAAGCCCTGTAGGCTGGTGACCTGTGCAGGGTGTAACCTACCTTATGCAAAGCACCAGCCCAGACAGGCACCAGTCCCTTCCACAGCGTTAAGAAAATAGATCAAATCAACAAGTTCAGGTTTCATAAAAACGGTCAAAGTAACAAGGTTCATTAATTTATTTAACACATTCTCAATTTACACTTTATACACATATAAAGAAAGTAAAATGCTTCTTGAAAACACTGAAGGCTAAGATACAGGCAAAAGTGAACTTAAGACATGATGTATATCTATTTATAAATACATGAAAGTATTGCAAGACTTATCAATTCCATTTAAAACTGCAGAATTAGATTCACATATTAGGCATACCGTAGATACATGCAGTCAGTGAACTCGTCAATGAAACACAGTTACAGTCTCAGAAAAATTTGCACAAATTAAAATATCCTATGTAAACATATAGTATACAGATGCTTTAGGGGCTTATATCTTGAGGTTAACAGTTAATGATAAAACATCGTTAAGCACAACACGTAAACATTTGAAGATCTGCTGTCATGTTGTTATCCTGCAGCGCTAAACCCTTTAATTTAACACTCTGGATGCTAACATCTGTTAAAATATATATCAATCAATCTGTATCAATACTGTGCCAAACAACAGCTTGAGAACTTTTTAGACAGAAGCTGTCTATAGCATACACATATATATATGCTCACATATATGCTAACATACACAACAGTTCCTGTCAACAGCAATCAAGCTATAGCTACTAGTGCAAGATTAGCACATGTTTAAACATGCCGGAACGATGTCCGACATACAGCAGAAGTTGTGCTGATTCAGAATGAAGAAGTTGCCTTAAACTCTAAAAAAAAATCTACTTTTACTGCTGTCATGTCAAAATATATTGTAACTATGCTTAGTGGCGTATAACAGTTGCAGAGCATGCCCTAAATAAAGGTGCAAAGTCACTGTTCTGCATGTCTGACGGACACTCTGAGGGTTGCTCTCAGGAAGTGCTGCTTCTCTTTCTGGTCCTTGGTCTCCTCTTCATAGTTTCTTCTTCTTGGTCGCTTTCACAATTCCTCTGACAAGACCAACACATCCCAGTTAGGAAACAGTTGTAACATAGTTACTGTTTGTGGTGATTGTGACAATTGTGAGTCTCCACAACTGGAGACAGCTCAAAGACTCTAAGCATTCTTTTACATATCTCTCTCTATTTTTTTTTTTATTTTTTTTTTTTTTTAGCTCCAGCAGCATATAGCAGGATAAAACTGTGCTTGCTACACTGCAACACTGTGGAACACAATGTCTGTTGTAAAGATACTCCCAGAGAAATAGTTAGACATCTACATCTGTAAATGCTGTGGAAATAGTGTACAATAAAAGAAACTCATCACCACATTAGTAAGTGCACCTGCTTATTAAGTAAATATCTAATCAGCCAGCCACATGGCAGTATGGTGCAATGCATTTTGGCATGTAGACATGCTCAAGACGACCTGCTGAAGTTCAACAGGAGCATCAGAATGGGGAAGAAAGGTCATTTAAGTGATGTTGAATGTAGTATGATTGTTGTTACCAGAGAACTAGTCTGAGTATTTCAGAAACTGCTGAGATTCTTCCTGCACAACCATCTCTAGGAATTACAGAGAATGGCCAGAAAAAAAATGTTTCCTATTGACCAGGAAACATAGACTCGCCAAAATTGTACAACAGAAGATTGAAATATCATTGCCCATTGTTAAGTCCAGATTTCTGCTGCGACATTCAGATAGTAGAATCAGAATTTAGAGTAAAGAACATGAAAGCACAGATCCATGCATGCACGGATTTATCAGTTTAGGCTGGTAGTTTAATGATGTAGGGATAACTTTTTTGCACAATTTAGTTTCAAATGTGCATCGTTTAAAAAAAAAAAAAAAAAAACCCACAGCCCGCTTTATTATTGTTGCTGATCATGTCCATCTCCACAGAGTACCCATCTCCTCATGGCTGCCATGTCACAAAGGTCAAATCATCCTAAACTACCTTTATGAACTTAATGACTTCATTGTACTCAAATGCCCTCCACAATCACCAGATCTCAGTCCAATAGAGCACCTTTGGAATGTAGTGGAACGGGAGATTCACATCATGGATCTGCAGCCAATAAATCTGCAGCAAGTGTGTGATGCAATCACGTCGACATGGACCAAAACCTTTCTGAATCTCTGCCATCAAGAATTAAGGCAGTCCAGAAGTCAAAAGGGTTTAATCTGGCACTAACAAGATGTACCCAATAAAGTATCTGGGGAATGTATTTGCAAAGTTAAACTAACCAGCTGTTGGTTGAAGCAATATAAATGAGAGCAGCTCAATGTGTGTCAGTTTAATGTAAACCATTGCACGGCAACCTACCCCGTCCTCCTCAGGCAGCTTCTCATTCTTATGGTTCTTCATGATTCGTGTTAGGTGGTTGCACAGAGCCACAATTCTGAATGACAGCTATTGAAACCGACAAAAGTAAAAAGAAATGGGTTACAAAGCAAGACATGTGCAATTTTTTTTAATGCAATCTTCCTTTAAGTAATAGTCCAAGTTGGTACCAAGGCTGCATTTTACCTTCCACCTGCGTCGAGCATACTGTCTCTTGAAGTTCTCCAAGTTGACCACTGATAGTCTCTTCACCAAGGCCTGTCTGGGGTTCAGAGGCTGCAGAAACACAGTGAGATGTCAGAAAGCAGAACTGTCCCTCACGTCAGCTGTGCGCATGTGCTTGTCTAATATAATCAGCTATACCATGAAGACATTTCAGATCATGAATGACAGAAATTTTAAAAAAAAAAAGAAAAAAAAAGAGTCATAATTTCTAATTAAGATTTATTTCATGGTTGACAAAAGTGTAAAATGTCAGCGCACAAAGACAAAAGAGTGCTGAGTGTTCAGACGCTAATACTGGCAAAGGAAGTGAGAAATTTTTAGATAGATAAGATCTTATCATAGATGTTGTTTTTATGGTTAGCGCAAAAACATCTCAAAGAAAGAAATAGAAAATACTTTTGAAATAAATAACTCAACCTTCAGCAATAGAGCACATTAAAATCCATAAAAAAGATCCTTTCTTTTAAAACACTATCATTTACAAATGGAGTATTAAATAGGATTAATTATTATTTCAATAAAAAAGAAAATTGCAATTAAAAAAAACTTAGATCAGTCAATAAAAAAACATTTGAACTTATCGTTCACTCCACTGAGAGAACCATTGCACAGTACATTTGTTTCATTTAGTTTTACTAAATCAGCTAAAATAATCTGCTAAATGCTCAGGCAGAAAACACCAAATTAATAAATAAACGTAGTTTAATAAATCCATGTGTCACAAAAATAAATAAATAAATGAATGAAATAAAATATTGTGCCACTTATCCCAGTTAAAGGACTAATCATGTTTGCTGCTGTACCTGCTGTTAAGATCAATACTTGTCTGTCATTTAAAAAGCATTCCAGAGCCAGTAAGAAATTAAAGCTCAGCTTATCTTTGGCCTACTAAAGAAAAAAGGCAGGCCGACTCTGTCAAAAGTCAACAAAAGAGATGTCAACGCTCGGGGCAGCAGTCCATGAGCAGAGGCAAAACCCCCTCTCTCTAGTCACCTGGGGGTTAGGGTTCAATGGGGGTTTCTGTAGGAACCTGAGGCATTCCAAAATACCTAAGAGATATAATCTCTCCGGAATGATTTAGGTCTGCCTTACGGTCTCCTCCCAGAATGTAGATATTTGTTTAAAATAATGGCAAAACCTAATGCACTAAGATTTCTATAATTGATAATGTCCATCCATTTTCTTCATTCAGTTCAGGGGACTGGAATCTATCCCAGCAGAAGCGGGGTATACTCTGGACAGGTCATCAGCCTGTTGCAAGGCTAACACTGAGAGAGAGACAACTATTAACGCTCACAGTGGCACCTTCAGCCAGTTTAGAATTACATGTACATGTGCATGTATTTGGACTGTGGGACGAACCTGGAGGGTACTCACGGAGGGAGAGGGAGAACATGCAGAAAATAGTGTTTATAATGTGTGTTTATGTTTGTTTAACCTTCGGACAAAGCCAGGCTAGCTTTATTAACTGATATAACCATCTTCTCCTTTAACTCTTTATCTTTTTTGTTTAAACAATAAAGAAAATCTATAAATAAATAAAATTTAAAGAGTGCAATTTTTTTAAAAAAAGAAAGAAAGAAAGAAAAATTGTTGACTCTTAGAAGATTTTTCAATGGTTTATGTCAGCCAGACTCAGTGAGGGGCTGTTCAGCCTCAGAGCAGACTTCTCCTTCACAAGTCAGATGCAGCAGGTCCTCCAGTGCTTTCTTTACATGTGTGCTCAGACTTCTGTTATGGATGCTACCACTGGTTCCCTCAGGATGCAAAGAGCCCATCAGATCCTGGAGCCACTGGAGCTCAGAGTTCAGCTCCTGCCTCAGAGCATCCAGTTGGCCCTGCCTGTGGTTGTACCTCTTGCTGATACTCTCCAGACAAACATCTACTGCCTTCATGTCTTCTTGCACCAGCTTCCTGGTGGCCTCCACTTTGCGAAACTCGTGGCAGGCTTGCGAGAGCTGTTTCTTTGCGGTGTCCCGCTCCTCCTTGTACCAAGCTTCCTTGTCATTGTGAATGGAGAGCAGTGCTTCTATGTCACCCTGCAGGGTGCGGTAAGCTTCCGCCACCTCGGACAATCCCGTCTCCATTAATCCGATGTCTTCCAATACATGGGCAAAACGCTCAAAGTTGGCATATGTGTTGTTTTGGGACATGCTGGAGTGCGACTGGATAGTGTACTCTTTAAGTAGTTTTGTCTTCAACTGCTTTGCTTTCTTCTCAGAGGCAGCGCTGTCCTCCTCCATGTGGCCGCAGGACTTCAGACAGAAGGGTAGGGGTGGGGGAGGGAGACTGAGTGAGAGGATGTCTTATTGTTGCATCTCGAAAACACGTATAGCAGTGAAAAATCCCAGCAGACGTGGCACTGGAGGATTAGTGTGTGACCCCAGAGCGAAAGCCACGGCTGATAAGGGGTGCCAAAAAACAGCAAACATTCCTGGTGAGCGTGTAAGGTTTCCCGGATCCATGCTTGCATCAAAACAGGATGAGGACTTCACAGCAAAACACCACTCACATGCATTTCATCAGCCTGAGTGGGAGGTAGACGGCTTCACCACAGCACAATGTTAAGTTTCCATTCCATTAAAATACAATTAGCGAGATATTGCAAGAGTCAGACCACTGACTTTGTAGACAAAAGGAATATTGCAGATGGCGTGAAGATGGATGAGATGAGTGTGAGATGTGAAGGGAAAAACAAAAATTCCCAAACAGGAACAATATACATACTTTAACTGTGGGACAGTATGGAAACATCTATCCAGGACAAGTACACAGTTAGTGGGAGTGAACACTAACACAACAAAAAAAAGATCCTGCTACCCCGTATGTTACCTTTGACATTAGCTGCAATAGATTTTACTCCTCGTAGAAGGGGGGGCAGGGGGGAATGAAGTGCTGACAACAGTCACAGATTATACAAACCATGCAACACTACTGCATAAATCATGTCCATACCTTAATCCAAGGATGATTCAGTGCATCTTCTATTGTCATCCGTTTTCTAAAAGAGAAAATGCAGCTGTGTAAATATGCCAGAACAACTCCATCAGACAGGGCACGTAGGTCAGTCGTGCAGCAGACGGTGACTCTAAGGATTACAGCGAGACCAAACTTCCACAGAAATATTCAGTTTCCCGAAGGTGCACGTAAACACTTAAATGGAAACACATGTCAGAAAGTAAGAAGAGGATCACATTTTACAAAGAAAGTGTTTTTGCAACATTTTGTAATAGTTTTCTTTTCTGGTTTTATATATCACACCGTGCAGCAGAAATATATCCTTACTGGCTGGCTGGCTGTTTATTCTCATGTGGGTCAGGAGTGCACTTCATTAGGATTTTATAAAGCATAGCCCCGCCTGGTACTGGGCTTTGTAATGAAATTTCAAACCTGACCTTTGGCCTTGACCTATTTGTTAGTAACCTAATTTCTTTCTTCTTCTTTTTTCCTCTTTTACCTCGTTTCCTTTTCCAGGAGCCCTCTGATAAAGTTCTTGGCCAGCTCACTGGTACTGCTGAAGAACTCTTCATCAAATTCGTAGTTCACCGCTGAGATGTTTGCTAACGTTTCCTGCTTTGTGTCACCGAGGAAAGGTGACGCGCCGCTCAAACTGAAACAACAGCACAAACGTTTGCATGCGTGACTCAGTCGATAATCGTAGATACATTAAAATTCCCGGACGTTGTGAATCTCAACTTACAGTATATATGTGATGACGCCGATGCTCCTGCAAAAAAAGGCGCAAGATTAATCCAAAGTTATGCACTGCAACCTGTTGTGCAGATGTCAGCAGAGTCAGAGGTAATTAAAAGCTCTTACCACATGTCTGCTTCCAAGCCCAGTTGCTCATAGTTGACTATCTCTGGAGCTGAAAATAGACAACACACACTCAACATCACAAACAGCGTCTGGCCAAACATCAAGCATCTCATTAAAATCGTCAAGCTCAATAAAAAAGAAAAAAGAAAAGAAAGAAAAACTTACCAACAAATTCAGGGGTGCCAAAAATGTTTTTGAAATCCGTCCCATCTTGTATTTTGTGTGCTAGTCCAAAGTCTATTATTTTGATGCGGGGTAAGGTGGCATCCCTGTCCAGCAGCATTATGTTTTCAGGCTGCACCAATGCAAATAAAGAAACAAAGCATGTATGTCAGCACATTTCCACTAATAGCAAGGCTCAGTAATACAGACAAAAGCAACAAGTTACCTGGAGAAATCCTCCTTTTGTGGAAGCATTAGAGAAAAACAATTAATCACGCTAATTAGTGTAAAGGTGTGTCAGTGTGAACTGAAAATCAAGGCTTCAGGCATGAATGACTCAAACACCTAGTGCGTTGTTATTTTGCGTACCTAATCCACCTTCAGTTATCAACACAAAAGCATCATCAGTGAAGAGGACTCACAATGAGCCATTCTTACATTTCTACTGTTATATGCTCACCAGATTCATATGGGGCATAAAGGGAACAACAACAAAAAAGGAACACTATCACCCAGTTCTGCATTCAATTAGTAAGATGTGGCCTCTTGTGGAAACTTGTCAAAGGGGCTCCCTGTTTCCCAGCGCTGCCCTTTGGCTCTGTGCAATATAATAGGCCTGCAAATCAAGAACCATTCACATTGACTTTGAAGGGTTATGGTGCTGGGGTTGGCTTGTGTTTATTTAGCTGTTCTGAAGCTTTATTTTAATCAAAAAGGGGGATAAGAATTTCTCAAGTAAAATTCCAAGTCAAAATGGGGTTAAACAGGAGGGTTAATGGGTGTTATAGCTGACTGATCTGATGAAAATAGACCTTGGGAACGTAGATGCACAGCTAGAAAAAAAATCAGACAGGATAGCGACTTTCAGATAGAAACGTGGGCGATACAGCTCTGAAACTAAAGAGATAACTTTGAAGTGTCGGTATCTGAGAGTTTGGATGGTGGCCACAAACAACAGGAAGGATGTGTGAATCAGAATAGCAGAACTGTGCAGTACGTACATTAAACACCTGCTATAGATAGATAGATACATATACATAAGGTCTTTATGGCATTGCTTGTGCGTAGTAATACAGTTGCTATGGAGGTAAAGAGTTTAACTGTTTCACAGAAAACAAATGCAGTTTAAGATGCGCAGCACAGGAGAAGCACGTTTACCTTTAGATCAAAATGTGCAATCTTCTTGGAGTGGAGGAACTGCACTCCATGTAGGACCTGCTTGATAAACTGAGTGGCCTCCTCCTCACTGAGGCTCTCCTTTTGAGCTAAGAAGTCAAACAGCTCTCCTCCAGAGACCCTGCAATACGCACAAACACACACAAACTGACACTCGGTGACTGTGGGCTCAGACAATCTGGAGCAAGCCCTTGCTAGCATTTTTATCTAAAGTGTGTTCTCAGGAAATTTGATGCACAAGCCCTGGATGCCTGAGATATGTTTGTCTGTGGTGCCAACTTGCTTCTGTTTTTAGTCCATTTGCCCTACTTATGGGCCAATGTATTTTTCCATAAACATAACTGAAAAAATGGTATGAAACCTTGGCCCATAAGCACAATGTTCTCTACCATTCATACAGAGAAAATGAGAATGAAGGACAGTGCGTTATTCTGCAGCCATTAGTCATATTTTTTGTTTGAGTTTTTCAATTAGTCCTAATCAGGCCTGCCATGTTTCTCGGCACTCAGCGACCCCAGACGGGGGCCCTTTTTGGCCTCTTTTCAGCACAAGCATTATTGACTTTGCAAGAGACATTTGGTTCTTTCTGGCAGACATGATCAGGGGCAAATGGTTTTCAGCAAACACAGCTTCAACAAACAGAAATAAACTCACAGATGAGTGGACTTTTGCAGTTTTACAGTATTCCTGCCAAACATTCAAAAGACTGCACTGACATAACTTTTCAATCCCAATAAAACACATTTTATGTTATGCAGGCTCTTATCTATTGTACATAGATGTTTGGAGTTTTCAAGAAGTAAAGCATGATAAAACTTTATTGTTGTGACTGTGTGGATATTGCAATGCATTGCAGAATCTTGTGGTGACTCACAGTTCGAGGATAAGCACAACATCTGTCCGGTTCTCGTAAACATCGTGGAGCGCTACAATGTTGGGATGCTGGAGCTGCTGCAGGATGTCCACTTCCCTCGCAATCTCCTCTCTTTTCACACCCCGTCTGCTGGCCCCGCTCAGGCGCTTCTTGATGAACTTGGCCGCGTACTTATTGCCTGTGCTCTTCTCTATGCATCGCTTGACAATCGCAAACTGCCCACTGCAGACAAAAGAGAAGCAATCACCACAAAAAGTGCCAAGAGAGCATACAGAGCACGGGAAAAGCAGTAACATCCTGCATCTTGGTGGAGGATGTGATCTCTGAACACTCTTCTTGTTACACCCATTATCATTCAACGTGACAACTGATTTACGTGCATCAGGATTTGTAGTATCTACCATCTTTTTTTTTTTTTTTTTTTTAAAGGAATAGAACTAATAACATTCTTTGCATTTAGCCACAGGATATTGGTGAGGAAGCTCTGGTACACAGATGACTGAAAAATTGCGGTATGGTCCATCACTTCCTGTTTCCTGGCGAGACAATGAGACAATCTGGTGGTGCTGAGAGAGCCTCTGTCCTCCTACTCCTTTTAACTTCCTGTCAAGTTTAGTGGAGCAAGCTCAAGTGTTTACTCCACTGAAAGAAAAGCAAATCACAACAGAGGTGTGTCTTTGACAATATTGTTCAGTGAATCATTGCGTTCTTGTTTTGAATGTTAGTTAGAAGTGATAGTCAGACATGAGCTTACGACATCTTTAATGGCATCTTATTATTAATGAGCTTCAGTACTGACTCCAGTTGGTGGAATATATTCCTTTGATTTCACTCATCCCTAACATAAATCATAACACTCATAACTTGCCTACTGACAGATTGAACAAGAAATATGAGACCATTTTCCATATGAGGGGAATTTCTGTGGCTTTAATATCAGACCAGCACTTGAGTAAGCTTGCTGTCATACTACTGCTGCTTTGTTGTTTCCTGTTGCTGGGGGATGACCTGCCCACCCTATTGTGAACACAAGCTTCTCATCCTTCTGCGTGATGCCACAACGACATACAAGGGCTTATGTGGTGACAGAACTGGCAAGAGTTTTACTGAATAGGAGGGAATGGTTGGGTAAAACACATTAAAGCTTGAGGACCGAAGAATTTTCATGTTTGAAGCACAGACACATTGTGACAATGTGGAGGGAAAAATTCCCAAAGAGGGGGAAAGACAATAATTGGCAGGCATTTCATGAATTTTGGACATAACTGTCCACACAGAAATTCCAGAGTGGCTGTGAGAGGCTGTCCAATCTGTGTCTAGAGGGCTAAGAATAGCCAGACTGAAACAGAGTCTTGCTTTACCTGCCACATTTCTTCTGCTGTTGGTGAGTGAGAGCCCCCGCTTGAACTGCAGGAGTGGAAAAGAAAGAAGGGCAGAAAGGAGGTGTGCAAGGAAGATCTGTACACCCACAACACACTACAGTTCACACTTGTATTTTCAGGGTGTTTACAATGTGCACCCAGAAACAAATTAAGGGATTAAATCCTATCTTTGTGGTTTTAAACCAGCTACTGACTCTGTAACCCTACATCGGTGCGAGATGGTTGAGCCAGTTTTCATGTTTTTGTGGCACGCCCTGTCCGGTGCTCTGTGATCACACCTGCTGTTACATTGACTATGCTAAGCCTCTTATGAAACATGCTCAAAAATAACAATGTAAAATTATGTAAATGCGGGACCACATAAACCCAGACTTTCAATTACAACCTCAATGAAGAGATTAAGTCTAAAACCTTTAAACAAATATGACGCAGTCTGATACAGCAGCACTTCAACAAAAAAACTGAACATCTCTGATACACAAGGGGAAAAAAAACAAGCGTATGAGTTTCTTTAAAGTGCTGCAGTGCTTGATGCAAGGGGATTTGCACTGAACTACATGTGGTTGTTTCACCTGTGCGTCTAATAAGACAAGGGAATCTTTAACTTTAGATTGATTTGATGCATTTCCTATAGCTTTCAGGTTCTGGAAACACATTAAAAGCCTAAAGTCCTTGAAGTTATTATTGAGATCATTTAATTCATGTGTGAACATGTCCCAGCAGAGACTGCAGGGGGGGAAAAAGAGAGAGTGGGGAAACATACGTTAAGGCAATAATCCACAAAGAATCCCACGCACATTCCTTAAAAGGAAAATAAAAAGAGAGCGGGTGGAGTGATAAAGCACAGCTTCATGGAATCTCAAATCCTCCCTCTGCCTGATCTATTCACAGGACGTCTCCACCCTCGAGTCCTCCCTGTTAGAGATGATAATGTGTTAACTGAAGAGGTGGGGAAGTCACTCAGTGAATTCCACTTGCAAAAACATCCATCAATTACCCCAAGGGGAGGAACTGATCCATCACTGGGGCATGAGCAGTCCCCTTGATTTGCCTGATAACTAATGGCAAATAGAAAAAGCCCTTGAGATGATAGTTGTAGTTCATGTGTGAAAAAGCACCCAACACAAATGTCAGCAGAGGGGCTTTACTCCAGCATTGCTACGAAGTGCAGAGTAACAGCGGAAAGAGATGCTGGGGGAGGTGGTATTCCACAAAAGGCCAGGCGTGCCGTCTGTCTTAGCCCTAAGCCGGCCAGCGGGGCTGAAAGTGCCATCTCTCCGCAGAATTTCCACTTCCAACAGCTGAAGGTCATTAGCCACAGCCAAGGTTGAAGGAATGCTCCGACAAGTGGTGCCAACCCAATATTTAAACATGTTTCTCAACTGAGCAACCACCAGGATGACGAAGAGCGCCAGATTCGCTGTTGACCCAGAAAGCTGTTCCTAACCAGGCAACTAATCAAATGCCATTGAGGGCTGCCGGGACGCAGCTCCAACTTTTAAAATTCTACCGGTGCTTGAAAACCCAATTTGTCTCCCACATTTTCTGCTTTTTACGCTGTAAGTGAAATCTTTCCGCATTTAAGCCCTAAAGTAATCTCTAGATTCCCACTGGTATTTAAGTCCAGCCACACACGCACACACCGGCATCTGTGAGGCATTAGTGTTGTTTGTAATGGGACAATTTCTGTCAGTATTGGAACTCTGGGGGATGTCCAAAAGGTCAACATGGAGGTCCTTCAGTTAGGCTGCAGCAAATAAACTCCCTTCTCTCTTTATTTCCCCAACTTACACAACAGCAGGAATGTTTCGAAGCTATAGAGACAGAAATTCTAGTACTTTTTGGTAATCTGAAACAGCTGTGTGCCTGCCCTGTGGGCTCTTTTCACTTCAACGCATTTATTGTTCGAGCACCGCAACCTAAAATTTGCATCACTGCCCTCTGGATATTCCATAAAGAAAACTTGTAAAATGGTTAGTCCGAATCATTTTCTCCTAAATGAACCCACATAGATACTGGAAAAATATTTTGCATATCAGGAAGATGCTCCTGCAGTGTTTACAGATTGGAGAGCAAAAACTCTGTGAACCTGTGTTAATGGACAGATGAGTTTTCACCTCAATGTCAACTTAAGCAGTGACAAACATGCTGCTGTTCCTGTCAGTATAACTAATGTTTAAATATCCATCTCACCGTCAAGACAGAGTATAGGTGTCTTGTGAGTTTCTGCAGGTATTTTGTAAGAAGCCACACATTAACAAACTGACCAGATTCAATTTAAGGCATCGTTAGAGTCATACAGTTCACCCTGGGATCACGTCACTCGCTGTACCTTTCATACATAGCAATAAAGACACGGTGGTGCTAGACGAAAAGTCAAGGGATTACCATTAGAAGTCAACATGAAAGCATTCAGGAAGTCAGAGTGAAACCATGGTGTAAAGTAAATTCAGCATTCAAATTTTGGGGAAAGTCTGCATGTTTTTTGGGGGGGGAGGGCGGGTTTAACAGATGGTAGTTTCTTGACACTGACTCACTACGCACTACTTATCTACTAAAAGCTATCAGTTGTTATGAGCCAACAAGGACACAAGCTCACTTGTAAACAGGGTCCAGCATCTCAGATGAAGACCTTTTTCTCAGCCTTACCTTGATGCTCAGTTACAGCTCACCGCTTCCTGTTAAAGGCATCTTTTGGTTCGGACTTTAACACTTTGTACTGTATGATGTCATAAGTGTCATCAGTCGAATGGAAAGAAAGGTACACTTGTCACAGCATGCCCCGCATGTCAAAGGGCTGACAGGTTTACCCAAAACTCTGTGTCATTAGTGGAAACAGTCACTCAGTACTGCTTTTCGGGGCTGTGAGACATTGAAACCTGTCAACATGATTAATTCAATTTCCAGAAATGGTGCAACAGTACCACAGCACAGGACATCTCAAATACGTCACACAGTTTTTGCCTCCCTCCGCCAAATTTCCCCACACTCTTAAAGGACAATTGAGTAACAGTTCCACTGAGGTATGTGAGTGGAGGGCTCTGAACCCGTGAGGCTGTCAAAACTGTGAGTGGGCTAAAACACGTCCCCCGAGGCTCACCAGAAAACTGTGAGTGTGAGTGAAAAGTCTTTTGCAGAAAGATAAAATGTAACAGGTTTGGTTACTCAGAAAGCTAACCAGGGCTTTTAACCACAGTAGCTTAAAGGGTCACATATTTTCAACATGCTGATGTTAAACATGCACTCAGCCCACAGCAGAGTCCCCTTTGCTTTTCAGGCAAAGGTTTTCTCATGAAAACCAGCTCAGCTTTGAGCAACACATTCCCATGTCTGCCATGTCTTGCAGGGGTTTAAAGGGTATTTCAGCTTTTTTTTTTTTATATAAGTTTTTAAAAGTCTTTTAAAGGAATTTCTTAGGTTTATTTATTAGGTTACTTGATGTAACCTAATAAATCATCTACTAGTCTGTGGTGATATGAGCAGCTTTTGAGTTGCCTCTGTGCAAACAGTACTTTTTTTGTTTTAAACGGTGCTTACAATCTATTTACTTTGCAAACTACGTAAAGTATTAGATAATTTATTCATTTTATTGATCAGCTAACTGTTCGTGAATCATTATTTTTAACCATCAGACGTGAGTGCTTTACTCAAAGCCTGATTACTGTAAAAATATTTCATATTTATACATTTGAACTTTTCATGCTACACGAGGCCTTTGCTGAAAAGTCTTCCTCTTCTGTTTTTTGTTTGGGTTATTTTTTTTATAGTTTTGAAGGAGTCATTTCAACAGCAGGTCTGGATCAGGGTGTGTCAAAGCAGCTATGTCCCAACAAAGACTGGGACACAGTGCATATTGGGATTAATGGTGAAAGGCTACAGGTCAGATGCTTTGCTTTTACACCCGCTCAATCTGTTATCGAGTGGTGCACATGCCCAAGCTGTCCTTCCGTGCAAAATTGGCGTAGCTTCCTCAATCCATATTGTAATCTACCAACTTCCTGTAACTTATTTCCTCAGTTTCCTTCACGTCTGCTCTTTACGGGGTTTATTCGCAGCACTTCGACACCCTGGTCCACCGCCCCACAGTCAGACCATGCAAAGCAAATCGCTCACAATTCATTTGCGTTCCTGGACTGACAAATCTGACCCCCAAACAGGGCTGTTTTCTTTTCTTCGAGTGCGTTTAGCTTTGGTATGTTATCTCTAGCTGTAAAATTCAGCCCACTTTAACCCAACGACACTCCCCAGTTCAAGCTTAGACAGGCCAGCTGTTTGCATACCTACATACACAGGACCACCACCGGATCAAGCACTTGCAAGGGAAACTGACTCACCCTCTGACTCACACAAACTGTGAAGGATCATCTTCTAAGAGGTGGGGATCAAATAACCTCTCATTGACATCCTTCATAAAAACTAATCGTGAACAAATCCTCACCTTCCCAGTGTTTCTCCAATTTCATAAAAATCCTCCACGTTCTCTTGCTTGAATACCGCCATGCCGGGCGTCCTCATTGATGTAGCTCCTTAATATGTAAAACAGATATGTAAAACAGCCTCTTCGATATGCTCCAGTAATGCCAGTTGTTGTGCCTCCCCAGGAGTACTCTTCCTGCACACAAAGATGAGTTGGTTTGTGAGCGCAGTGATGAAAATGTTTACTACAAGTTGCAGCTTGCTGTAAGGTATTCGTTTACTGAATTAGAGCTACTTTCACCTTGCTCTTGGGAAAGCCTTAACACCGTAACACAGCACAGAAAAAAGGGTCCTCTTTGTTCTTCACTAGTATTACAGGCTTTAAACTACAACTTGCACAACAGCGTCTGAGCAGCATAACAGTGTATAATGAGGATTACAAATGAAAAGAACATTTCTGGCTAATTAGGGCAGGGCATCTGTTGTGAAACATTATGTCTGGTTAAAAAGGTTGAGAATGGCAGTTACACAGGCTTTGTAAATATCAGAACATGGCCATTGTGACAATTGTGAATAAGGATTTAGAGATAAAATGTAACTGTGCAGCATGGGAGTGAACACGTATGTGTACACAAAGAGATAGAGAAAAAAAAAAAGATGTTCACAAGCTGAATTACCACAAACTTCCTCTCTGGCAAGTTTCATGAGTTTTTCGCAAGTGTATCAACAAAACTGGCTGCAGTTAAAAACACCGGGTCTTACCTTCAGTCAGCTGCAGAGCTGATGATAAAGGTGCATCAGTGTCCACGTCTCCTACAGTTGGTCTCCTCGTCTCATAGCTGCAGCTGGGGCCAGAAAACAGCTCCTCCGGGGTGGATGGCTGCTGTTTTCTGTCACCGGTGGTATCACCATCAGGCTTTTGTGTGCGCGTAAAGTCCCTCCCTCTGATGGCTCTATTATGAAACTGCAGCGCGAGCGTGGCAGGCTGTCAGTAAAGATAGCTCGGATAACTGCTCGGTGCGTCCTAACAGACGTGTCTGAATGAGCATTTGAATTAGGAAATTCACATCAACACATTCAGCCAGCAAATTGTTTATTGAACTAATATTACAAACTTTTTTTTTGCATCATTAGGTGAAACAGGCTAACAATGAGCAAGATGAGAGATATGCATACAAAAAGGTGAAGTGCTGATATGATATTCGGAAGTCATACTACCAATAAAATTGTGCAATACAATTCTGGGAAAAGCAACACAGAAAAGAAACAAAGTAAAGTTAAAAAAGAGAAGACTTTTAAATGTAGCTTATTCTGTGAGGGGGGGGGGCACTAGCCTTAAAAGAGAAACTGAGTAAACATAAAATCTTACTGTATGAGCCTTCTGACAATGTGTGGACATTTATATATTAAAAAAAGCAAGTTTAACTGTAAACCAATCAAGATCTTTGTGAGAGACCTGCTCTCACAAAGGAAGAAATACAACTATATGCTTCTTTTTCATTTGATTATCAAAATATTTTTTTGTTGTTGTTGCCATTTGTTCATTGGATCAGGTGAACAGTGGGGATGGGATCAGCTGACAAAGCTGCAACTGACAGCAGATCTCTTGTTTCTGTAAACACCTCAAGACAATCTAAAACTAAAACTCGAGCAGGGTGTAAACAACACATCAGTGCACAAAATCCCATTTAAGGAGACTGAAAAGTTTCACTTAACAGCTGATTGATCAAATATAAACAGCGTTTGAAGCTTGGAATATCAGCTTTCCTCCACGCTGCTGTAAGAAACAGGAGATCCCAGTGAAGAGGAAACTTTAAAGTACCCGATTATGAAAATGGAAGAGATATTTGGCAATACGGTGAAAAGCTTCCCTCATATATTTAACATCATATTTCCATTTTTTTTTCTTTTAATACAACAATCATCATGACTTTACAGCCACTTCAAGTGCAGTCAAACTGCGAGTAGGGTACCTGTGAGCCGAGCGTAAATACCAGGTAAACCAATGTCACACTGCCACACTGAGGACAACAAATGCAATTACAATCAGCATTTACACCAGCGGCTCAGAAAAATCTCAAATAAAAACAAATTGCGCACAAGGAAACTGGACCATTTAAACATGTAACACAAACACAGAAAAACCAAGAGCATGCAAAAACTGAGTAACCCACAACAGCGTGAATGGATTAACCGATCCTGCCAATACCAGATACTCAACTGATTAAATCCAGTGCAATACAGTTTGGACTTTCTAGATATGTCTTTGTGAGAACGTGAACAGTTCCTAAACTACTTTAAACAACACGAATAGCAAAATCGATAGCCAATAAAAACCTCCCAAATAAAAATGAACTGATAATGCTTAAAAAACAGACAATACTGGCTCACGTTAGTTTGATGGCTTATAGAAAGTGCACTGCTGCTCAGCAAGTTCCAGATGCTCTTTCTAGAACTGATAATACCATGGAAATGTGGCTTTTGACGCATCCCTTGAAGGAAACTACAACTGGAAATGTTACATACACGCTTGAAGGCCTTAAGACCTAAGTTTCAGCAACGTTTTCATTTCAGCATAAGTGATTTGTGTGCACGCACGTCTCAGTGGCAATTTAGTGGAGGGAAAAATTGTGTGAGTGTAGAAGATGACAGCACAAATGAATGACACAATAATCCTTCAACACATTTAAAAGTCAGCTATAAAAAGGAAATGGATCGCAGCCATTTGTTTGAAAATACTGATTTGTGTTGCAGGTTGTTTTGGCCATTGCATGAACACGTAAGCGTACAGAAAACAGAGGATTTACAAGATTTAATTAAAAAAGAAATGGCAGGAATACTGATAATACTGATAGGCCCTTTCGGGCTTGTGACATTAAGTTCTTTTGATGTGGTTGTTGCTTAAAACGTATAAAGTTGATAGTTCCAGCTCTGATGCAGAGACCAACTCCAACGATTAGGTGTGGGAAAAGCGCTCCGTTCATCACTGCAGAACAGCGGCGCTCTGCAGAGATGATCTCTTTGTCTCCGTGCTTTAGCCACTCAGCCTAGAAATGCGACAAGTCCGAGGTCAGTTTTCCTCCTCGTCGTCGCTGACAAAGCTCCTTCTATCCTGACTCGTCTCTCGCTCCCTGAGGAAGGTCTGTCGGATCGCTTCCAGCTCCGTCAGCTCGAGACGGACTTTCTCCAGGTGGAAGGCGCGCCGATTTTGGATTTGCCTCATGGGGAATGGGTTCATGTCCACAAAGGCAACGCTCATCAGCTTCCTGGAAGATATTTTTTTAGAAGAAAGAAAAACAGCATAATCCTGTGAGCCTGGATTTTTTTTTATGTCTTTGAAATTTAGTAAACCCATGCATCCTTCTTTCAGCATCAAGCATACACCACTGGAGCTGATACATAAAACTTTATTAATAGGTAGGTTATTATTACAGCTCCAAAAATGGCCACTTGAGGCTAGCTCCAAAACAGAGTCTGACCAATAAAATGGTATAAAACAAGCATGCACAGTGCAATTTTAAATGTAAGGGCTGCTACCTATAGCAATCTATTTAACAACTGCATCTCAGCATGCCGCATTTAGTCCAAACCATGGCTGTGCTCAAGCACCGTCTCACAGAGCTGCTGCAACACCTGCAGTGTGAGAAATGAAGTTTGCACAGGCACAAAGCCGATACACTGTGGGTGATGTGATCGTACAATTTAGCTACAGTTCAGGGAGACCCGGGAAGCTGTTTCAAGGTGATGCAGATACTCTGTCCACAGAAACTTCATTCTTTCACAGGACTGGAAATACGAAAACAGTGCAGCTACTGTACCTTGAATCCAGGATCGTGCGTGTGAAGTATCTGAGATATTTGAAGATGGCTGTGGAGTCCTGCAACTTCAAAAACTCCTCTTCTTTGTACTTGAAGAGCGCAAGAGCAAAGCGGAATATGATCTGTGGAGAAAAATGGCGTAAAGTCCTGTGTGACTGTAGCATGAAAATATTTACTCAGGAACATCTGACCTTTCTTCTGTTCCCTAAGCAGGTCCTCCAAATATAGTCAATACCGCCTTAATCTGAGGCAGTTTTGTTTGACTGGGTTCATATCAGGTTTCTGTTAAGAGTTAGGCTCGACAGCTTTAGTGTTTTAACTTGTATCGTTCAATCAACACACAATAGGGCACATTTTTGCTTTAACAAGTTTGCTAAAATGCTTCCCTTAAAAATTCTATAAGGGGATGCTACGTGAAAATCGGTTATTGCATGCGTTTTCTTTTTTTTTTTTTACCTTTTTACCTTTTTTTGCATGTCATTAAGCTGAAAAGTTTAGAAAAAATACAAAACTTTGTAGGGGTGTAGAGTGGGGTTAAAATTTAGCTTGCGTACACAAAAAATAACGATTTATTAAACTAAAGAATTTTGGTTCCTTGGTGGCAATAAATAATTCGTTTAATAGCGTGCAATTGGATCCATCTGGCAAACATGCACGGTTGTGTGCCGGCACGTAGCTTGAGAAGTGATCTCTCGTCACCGGTTAGTCATTAACTTTAAAACAGTTTCCTGCTGAGGCTAGAATTCAGGTTTATGAGAGCAGAATCAAGCCTCTTACCTTTGGTCCTTCAAACAGAAACGCATCCCAGATCTTGAAGAGGATGTCGCTCACCACACTGTCCACAAACACCACCAGGAACCAGTTAAACGTAATGAGGGAAAAATCGACTTTGTGCTGCTCAAAGTGGGCGTGTAGCCGCGGTAGCTTCTCGCTCATCAGATCCTTGAACACACGCTGGTCAACCTGTACGAATCAAACCAGGGCTTGATTTTCTAAGGTGGTCAAATTTAGCAGACAGACAGAAAAACAAAGACTGCTGATGTCTGCATTCCTGCTCTGTAAGTCATCAACAGCAGTCACGTGAATATGATATCACTGACACCAGGGAGGTTTGTCAAATCTAATAAATAAGCAGTACCTTGTCCCTTCTTGTCTCATGGTACAATAAAATTCAACTGTTTTTTTGTTACCTGTGAGCCAAGGAGAGTCTTAGTGTAATAGTCTCTTGGCATGAAGACCTCCACAATAGCTATAAGGGTCCAAAAAGCATCCTCTTGATCTAAATAGAGCAAGGCAATTGCTGCCAGCCTGAAGAAATAACATGCAAGAAAAAGGTTAATGGTTACAAGCCAGAAAAAGAGAGACAGAAAGAAAGTACACACTCAAGCTCTAGTACCTGTTCAGTCCTTGACAGTAGCCGATATCTGGATTCCTCCATGAGAAAGCCAGCAGGACGTTCCTGAGTTTTTGGATGCCGCCTGCACTCGGAGAGGCATAGTGCTTGTTGTTGGGCAAAGTACGCAGCAAGTCCAACTCGATCTGCTTCGAGGCCGGGTTGGGCTTCTCCCTTGCTACGTTTAATAAGGTGTCATAATAGTCTGGGGGCAAGTGGTCACGAAACTTCTTCACGTGGAAAGAAACACACCAGCGCCACACCTTGGAGCGGTGCCCATGTGGCACGCCACAACGAATCAGGGCCTTTAGCTCAGGGGAGTGAACCAGGTCTCTGTTCATGGTGCTGGACAGAAAGTTCTCCCACTTGACCCCGACGGAAACCTCCTGATCCGTCATGGACAGGGACTTCAGCTCCAAGGCCCTCACCTTTGCGATCAGCTTCTCCTCCTCTTCCTCCTCCTCGGGGACGGTCTTGAAGCCGTACACGTCATACTCGCTAGCATTGCATCAAGACAGAGAGACAATTCATCAGTGATGCGGGTGAATTCCGAAAGCCGCTCAAAGCTGCAACAGTAACATGTTCACATCCTGGCTTCTGCATGTTTACATCACTGAGCGGTTTCCAGAATGTGTAAATACATTTTTGATGAGCCAAAAAGGGCATGCCTGGGCTTGCAAAGAATTCAGAAACTGAAATACAGATTAGCAGAACTC